TTTTTTTGTTTTAGTTTTTTGTGGCAACAACTTTCAAACATGTATATTTTCAAAAATGTTAACAGATAGATTGCTCTAGATTAGATCATAACAACAGAGTATTAAAGAAAAAGCAATAAATTGTATTAATAATATATATATTTTTTCTTGTCAACGTTCTGGTCTGTTATGAAGGAATTTATCCAAAAATAAAATGCTCAACTACTGCTGTCAATTAAAGGTGTTCACACACAAACTAGACGAGGGTATGTAAACCTTAAAGGCAATTCATGTTCATAGATGATTTTAGTCGGTAAAACATTACAAACATATCCTTTATATATAAATATTTACATCAATATGGCTATAATCTGTGATAAGTGCATTATTTTTGCTTATTCATGAACTATTTACTTTACATATAGTGGCCCCCCAAAAATATTTGTATACTTAAAATATCAAAGCATGTCATTTATTGTAAAGAAAGTTGCACAAACACTCTTTTTAAAGGAACAGTTCACCCAAAAATCTGCCATGCCTTCTATGATGTAGATGAGTTTGTTTCTTCATCAGGTTTGTAGAAATGTAGCACTGCATCAGTGTCTCAGCAATGGATGCTCTGCAGTGAATGGGTGCCGTCAGAATGAGAGCTGATAAAAACATCACAGTAATCCACAGCACTCCAGTCCATCAGTTAACATCTGGAAAAGACAAAAGCTGAAACACATCCAGCATTAAGATGTTTATAACTCAAATACGAGTCCATAATAAGGCTTCCTCCAGTGAGTCAGTGTTCTGGTGTGAATCAGGAGAGAAATCTGCACAGATCAAGCAGCGTTTAAACAGCTCTAAACTAATATGTGGCTGGATTTTGATGTGAGAGACAACAGCAGATGCACTTTTTCACTGGAGGAAGCGTTATTATGGATTATAGACTTGCATTTTAGTTAAAAACATCTCAATGCTGGACTTGTTTCAGCTTTTGTCTTCTCCAGATGTTAACTGATGGACTGGAGAGCTGTGGATTATTGTGATGTTTTTATCAGCTGTTTGGACTCTCATTCTGACGGCACCCATTCACTTGCAGTGAGACACTGATGCAATGCTGCATTTCTCCAAACCTGATGAAGAAACAAACTCATCCTGATCTTGGATGGCACATTTTCAGCAAATATTCATTTTTGGGTGAACGACTCCTATAAGCTAAACATTTGGCAAAATTAAGTTTGTCTGGTTTGGAATAAAGTTTTGTGGTCAACTTGAGGTTGACAAACAGTCACTGAGTAAAAAAAAAAAAGATCCGTCAGCGTTTGAGGTGCACAGATACAAACACTTGCTTCAATATTTTATCCAACGAAGGCTTAATGTGGCTTAAACGTCCAAATACTTCAGGGCATCTGTGCTTATACAGTGTATAAAAAATCCATTAGGAGTCCACGAGGAAAGCCCTTCCAAAAAAACTACCTCAATGATTTAAACAACCCGAGTGAGTTGACAAAAGCTGCTCAGGTTGATGAGATCCACTGTTGGGAAATATGTGTTCACCCTTCAGTAAAGACACATGAGATCCGGCTCGGGCTTCTCTCCACGCTACGGATGTGAAGGTAATTGTCCTCCGAAGGCCCCTGCTCTCCCAGAAACTCTTCCGGTCCGGTTTGGCAGTCGAACACTGCTGTCACAAACACACAGAACCATAAGCATGCTAGTTTCTGCAACGCACACCAGGCTGATTTATAGTATCTGTCTGTGTTTTTACCAGCGGTGCCTGATAGAGTTGTGTGCAGCAGGTCTGAGGAGCCCAGATTGTCCTCAAACATGGGCATCTGCATCATGGAACAGGGAGCAATGTGTTCGGCAGCCTGCGGTGGGTCACCGTATGAGAACACGGTCTGGGCATCAGCAGAGAAACCTGACGGTGTTAATGCAAAAAAAATCAACAACAACATTATGCCATTTGATTATTCACAACACCAAATGACATTATAATCTGCTGTAATCCAACTACTGCGTCCTTCATTTATTAGATTCCAGGCTTGAACGATGTCTCCTCAGGGCGACATTTGAGCTTGGGAGAACTTTAAACAATCTGTATGATGAGATTAGACGTGGGTCTATTTTTGACTTCGCCTGACAGACTGCCATCTGTTGCTCTAAGAGTGGAAGGATCAGTTTGTGAATCATTCAGTGCTGATCAGTTGGTTCTCCGCTTACAGTCACGTCTTAAATATGCATTTTGCATCTGCTTACTGCATATGTGGCTTGTATGTAAATGTCCTTATGTATAGTGTTGGATGCCACACACATGTGCTGCCTATTAGTGTCGCTAGGGTGGTGTTATCTGGTTGCTAGGACGGCTGCTAGGTTTTCTTTTGCTGCACAATTAATCTAAATAAAAACTGAAATCACAGTATGGCTTAGTGCGATTATCACACAACGTGAAATGTGACAAGTTCCATTAATATTGTTATTTTACATTTGTAATCTGAAATTCAGGAAGTCAGGAAAATTTAGCTTTCTGTCTTTCTCTATAATATTTTATTTTATTAAAAAGAAAAGAAAAAATATATATGCTGTGTGTGTGTGTGTATATATATATATATATATATATATATATATACACA